TTCGGGGTCCCATGTGTGATTTTGGGGGGTTTTTATACCTCTGTTTGGGGTTTCCGTGCCACTTTTGGGGTCCTCTGTGCCAAGTTTTGGGGTTTCTATGACCTCATTTGGGTCTCTGTGCCATTTGGGGAGGGGGGGGGGTCCTCTGTGCCACCACAGAGGTCCTCTGTGCCACTCTTGGGGTCCTCTGTGTGGTTTTTCGGGGTCTTTGTACTGCACTGGGGGGTCTCTGTGCCCACTTTGGGATGTCTGTGCCACTTTCAGGGTCCTCAGTGGGATTTTTGGGGGGCCTTCTACCTCTATTTGGGGCCCTCTGTTCCACTTTTGGAGTCTCTTTACCTGTATTTGGGTTCTCTGTGCCATTTTTAGGGTTCTCTGTGCCCCCATTTGGGGTCTCTGTGCCTCTACTGGGTCTCTGTGCCCCCGTTTGGGGTTTCTGTCCCTCTTGGGGGTTTCTGTGCCATTTTTAGGGTTCTCTGTGCCCCTATTTGGGGTTTCTGTCCCTCTTGGGGGTTTCTGTGCCATTTTTAGGCTCCCCTGCCCCACGCCCCCCCTCCCGTGGGTGTTTTTGGGGTGCCCGGGGGGGATTTTGGGGTCTCACCCCCTTTTCCCCCCAGCTTCACCCTGGCCTCACACTTCTTCTGGGGGCTCTGGTCCGTGGTGCAGGCCAAGATCTCCACGATCCACTTTGGGTACCTGGTGAGCTCTGGGGGCCGCTGTGCCCCTGTTGGGGGCTCCACGACCCCTGAACCCTTTTAGCCCCTTCTCCCTTATTTCCCCTCCCTCCCCTCATTTCTCCCCTTTTCACCTTTCCCCTTTCTTTCATTTTCCCATTTTGCCCCCCATTTTCTCCCCATTTTCCCCACTTTTTCTCCCATCTCCCCCTTTTATCCCCCCTTTTCCCTCTTCCTTGCCCTTTCCTCCCTCTTTCCCCCATTCTCCCTTTTTCCCCCCCTATTTTCCCCTTTTCCCCCCCTTTTCTCCCCCTTCTTCCCCCCCTTTCCCCCCATTTTCCCCTTTTCCTCTTTCTTTCCTTTTTCCCAATTTGCCCCCCATTTTCTCCCCCCTTTTCCCAATTTTCTCCCATTTCCCCCTTTTATCCCTCGTTTTTTCCCTTTTCTCTCCTGCCCTGCCCTTTCCTCCCTCTTTCCCTTCTCCCTTTTTTCTCCCCTATTTTCCCCTTTTCCCTCCCTTTTCCCCTCATTTTCCCCTTTCCCTTTTCTTTCCTCTTTTCCCAATTTGCCCCCATTTTCTCCCTTTTTCCAAATTTTCTCCCATTTCCCCCTTTTATTCCCCTCTTTTTCTCCCTTTTCCTTCCTTCCCCACCCTTTCCTCCCTCTTTCCCCTTCTCCCTTTTCCCCCCCATTTACCCCTTTCCCCACCTTTTCTCCCCCCTTTCCCCCCTTTATCCTATTTCCCCTCCTTTTTAACCCTTCCCTCCCCTTTTTAACCCCTTTTCCCCCCTTTTTTTGCCCATTTCCCCCCTTTCATTCCTCCCTTTTCCCCCTTTTCCCTCCTTCCCTGCCCTTTCCTCCCTTTTCCCTCTTCCCCCTTCTCCCCTTTTCCTCCTCCTCCTTTTCCTCTCCCTCCTTCCCCCCCTTTTCCCCCTTTCCCTCCTTTTTTGCCCCTTTCCCCCCATTTTAACCCCTTTTCCCCCTTTTTTGCCCCTTTTCCCCCCAGGATTACGCCCAGAGCCGTTTCCAGGCCTATTTCCAGCACAAGGCTCGCTGCTCCTGAGGGGATCCCCCAAATCCTGCCCCCCCCCGGCCTCTGGGGGGGCGTTGGGACGGTTGGGGGGGTTGGTAACGGTTTGGGGGGGCCCTGACAGTTTGGGGGGCACCACAACGGTTTGGGGGGGCTGAGCCCCGGGACCCCCCCGCACCCCGGGACTCGCAGCAGAGGTGGGTGGGACCCCCCCATAAGGGTGGGATTTGGGGCGGGGGGCTCTGGGGACCCCCAGATCCGCACTCCTGGCCAGTAACGGGGGTTTGGGGTGGTTTTGGGGGGGTTTGGGGCGTGGCACAGGGGGTGGGGGACCCCGTTTGTACCTCAGTGCCCCCCGCGCCCCCCCGCCCGCAGCTCTGGGGCCGGGGCCGCTCCCGGGGCCCCCGTTTCGACAGCAGAATGTAAAACTCAGACCAATAAAGCCGCGCTGGGGCCGGCGCTCGAGTCCGCCTTCCCTAATCCCGCCCCAAATCCCACCCCTTCGGATTCCTCCATCCCAAATTCCCCCCAAAATCCCGCCCAAATCCCACCCCTTCGGATTCCTCCATCCCAAACTCCCCCCAAAATCCCGCCCCAAATCCCACCCCTTCAAATTCCCCCTTCCCAAATCCCGCCCCAAAGTCCCACCCCAAATCCCACCCCCTCAAATTCCTCCATCCCAAATCCCGCCCCAAAATCCCGCCCCCAATAATCACCCCTTCGAATTCCCCCTTCCCAAATCCCGCCCTAAATCAACCCCTCAAATTCCCCCCGCCCTAAATCCCACCCCTCAAATTCCCCATTCCCAATCCCGCCCCAAAGTCCCACCCCAAATCCCACCCCCCTCAAATTCCCCCTTCCCAAATTCCCCCCTCTCTGCAAATCCCACCCCCTCAAATTCCCCCCGCCCCAAATCCCACCCCTCAAATTCCCCCTTCCCGATTCCCGCCTTCCCCAAATCCCACCCCCAAATTCCCGACTGCTGCTTCTGCCCCCCTCCCCAAATCCGCCCCCCCGGACCCCCCAATCGCCGTGGGGCAGAGCGGGGGAGGGGCCGGGGGGGGACACAAGGGACACACGGGGGGGGTGACATGGGGGGGCTCTTTGGGGTGGGGGTCCCGGGTGCTGGAGACCCCTCCCCGTGTCCCCTCAGCGTGGGGCAGGGGACAGGCAGGTGACAGCCGGGACAGAGGGCAGGGAGTGGACAGCGGACAGGGAGGTGACACTCGGGGTGACGGGCAGGTGACAACCGGGACAGGGGCCAGAGGTCGGGCAGGTGACAAACAGGTGGCAGGCAGGTGACAGCCAGTGCAGGGAGCAGGTGACAGGCAGGGCACGGGGGCCGGTGACAGGCGGGGCACAGGGACAGGGACAGCAGCCACTGCCCCGGGCACGGACACCCGGAGCCCCAGACCCCGTGGCAGAGCCGCTGTCCCTGTCCCGGGTCCGTGTCCCTGTCCCTGATGCATGTCCC